ATACTATGTGTTGTTGCCCTTAACCCCCCTCAATGCCTCAATGGCTGGATGTTCTCCCATCTCTAATGTTCACTTTAGGTGTGTGTCATAGACAATGGCCAGTGGGCTAACATATTAACTCAAACATGCTTCTCCATGCAGCCACATTAAGAGTTAGGAAAACAGTCTCAGAGTTCACCATCCTGCAATACCGACAAATTAGGCGAGCCCTTTAACCCTACACCCACCGATTATGCTTCATGAGTTTGTCCTCTGCCAGCCTGTACCACCTTCTTTGTGGCAAGAGGATGGAAAGATATAATTGTTATCTTAAATTGGAAGAATCTTCCTCCCAAAGAACTCCTGTTTCCACTTGCTCACACTCAGTTCTAATCTCCCAGCTTCTCCTGTGGCTCTGAGAGTGAGCAGGACACCTTACTGCCCAGTCATTCTGTCCCTGTGTCAGCACTAAACACCGGGCTTTACTGAAGCCTAAAGCTGACCACCTGTGACACACACACTGTATGTGTGTGTGTGTGTGTGTGTGTGTGTGTGTGTGTGTGTGTGTAGAGGGTAAGTTGTTTCTTTTCTGGTGGGTTGTTCTTTCTAATAGGTTCATATAAAGGTTATAAAGTCCATCTATCCATATTGTCTTTCTCTTTGAAAGTACAAACAGTCATAAAACAGAACACTACCGTTCAATTTTGTAATCTTAAATTTCAAACAACGCACTGATGAATTATTTATGTTATGGAATGTGTTTTCAATAACGGGTAGCATAAAATGGGATGAGTGCTTATGCACACGTGCTCTGAACTTTCTAAAGTGCATGCTGAGGAGCAGGGTCACCCAGCATCACTGTGGCCTGGTCACGTCCAAGGCCAGCGCTCCTCCTCTTGCTCCCGGTTTCTGCATTACCTTTCCCAGCGGGCAGCTCGCTGCTTTGCCCGTGGAGCCTCGCAGTAACCCTCTTTGACTCCGGGCTGCCTCACAGTGCTTCTCTCTCACATCACCGACACCGGGCTCTATAAATTTTACTTGTCCTTCTGGCTTCCAGCCATACTAAATTAGGCTTTAATTCATAATTAGTAGGAAGTCACATTTCCATAGAAAAGAGAACATTTTCTTTAAATGGCCATTATCTAACACCATGATTTCACAAAATGATTAAGATGCTAGAAAATAAGTAAGTTACCAATACTTAAAGTGCAGGCATAGGGCAGAGGGGTGGTAATTTTGTTTTAATCTATGTATATAGCTCCTGCTACAATGACAAGAAGAAAAGAAATTCTTTTTTAATTTTATTTTTATAGTTGTACAAATTATCAGACTTGCTTTCTATATCAAAATCTTTGAGATTATGTAGATTGCTTGCATATCTTGTGACAATCCTTAGCACAAACGTCCAAACAACAACAGTAAAAAGCCAAGAATAGGTAACTCATAAACCTTGAATGGCGGGTCTTGTTAAAGAAGATTAGGTAACTTTTGGAAGTCAGTTTCTGTTCATGATAATATCTTCATGTGAAGACTTAACTCAGGACTGAGAGCTAGTGGGAGGAAAAATGATGCAGGTCCTCCGTCCCTCATCCAAAACTCTCAGAACCAAATGTTTTTCAGAATTCACAGGGTGGGTGTGTGTGTGTGTGTGTGTGTGTGTGTGTGTGTGTGTGTGTGTGTTTTAAATTTCATACGTGCATTCTTTTTAAAATATATTTGTATTGATTTCAGAAAGGAGGGGAGAGGGAGAGAGAGATGGAAACATCAATGATGAGAGAGAATCATTGATGGTCTGTCTTCTGCTCCCCGCACTGTGGCCTGAGCCTGAGACCCAGGCATGTGCCCTGACTGGGAATCAGACCGTGACCTGGTTCGTAGGTTGACACTCAACCACTGAGCCACAGCAGCTGGACAGGTCCACTTTTGAAAGCCCCAACACAATAGATGATACTGACTTTGTAAATCTGGAGGTTGGGACCACAAAATTGGTATAGAGATAAGAGTCAAAATTTTGAGCCAACACTTTCAGTTTAACTGTCTCTATAACTTCTGCAATAGGAAGGCAGGAGAGAACTCACAGCAGCTCTAACTTCTGCACTCCCCACACCATAACGACGCCTGAGCTTCATACCTGCTCATAGACTGTGGGCACTGGTTGGCATGAAAAAACTACCGATCACACGGGATCACTGATAGACACCTGAATTCAGTGTCTCTGAAAGAAGGGAGATACTAGATCTTTGTGAACGTGGCTAGTTTATGGCAGGATAAAAGCAAACCTAATTTGAGCTACTTTATCTGAGATTTCTTAAAACCTTCACTGTGGCTTCCCATTTTATTTGCTGATTGAAGCAAGTTATGTTGACATTATCTGTGTGAATGTGGTAGAAAGGAAGTTCAAGAAAGGCATTCTGTAAAGGAAATGTTTTCAAGCAAATTGTCCTTAAATCAACATTAATTGCCAAATACTGACTTTTTCCCCCTTGAGATAATGGAACAGGAATGCTAAATACAAAATTTAGCGAGGCTAAGATAATAAAAGCTCTGGGGATTCTTTTAAATGAGAGCAATGGCACAGCCATAAAATGAACCCTGCTGTAGCTTCCAGGAATTAGGTAGGTCCATATGCACGATTGTGGAACAATCTCCAAAGCATTCCAGTAAGTGGAGAAGCAGATCATAGATCAGGACAGAAGCAAAGCTCAGTTTAAGTTTGTAAATACATGTGTGTCTAATTGTGTAATTACATGAATGCATTTAATTATACAAAAAAGATTCAGAAGTATATATACTAAATTGTTTACAGTGCTCTCTGGGAAGTCTAGCGGAGTTTGCATTTGGTTGGAGGATAGGGAGTTGAAAGGACTTTCGTTTTTCTTTGTATAATTCTATGTATTTCAGTTTTTATAATGAAGTCATATTCTTATATTATTTGAACAATTTAAAAAATTTAAGAAAATAATGATAAGGTAGTTTCATTCATTATTTATTGAGTACTTGACATTTAGGATACAGTGCTTTCTGCTCTTATATTGCTTCCAATGTAACAAGGGAGGAAGATGTTAAACAAATCTATATAAGTAAATAATTATAAATTGTGAGAAGTGCTATAAAGTAAAGCAAATTATTATGAGAAGAAAAATAACTGGGACAACCTAATTTACATACTGAGGTTAAGGAAATCCTCTCTGAAATAGTGATATTTCAATTGATATCTAGTAGGATGAACAGTAGTTATCCAAGCCCCCAAAACAAGGAGAATAAAAAGAAAAATAAATGAGTGGAACTATATCAAACTAAAAAGCTTCTACTCAGCAAAATAAACCATCAACAAAACAAAGAGGCAGCCAACCTAATGGGAGAAGATATTTGCAAACAATACATCCAATAAGGGGCTAATATCCAAAATATATAAAAAAAACTCATACAACTCAACAATGCAACAACAACAAAACAAACAAATTAAAAAATGGGCAGAGGACCTGAATAGACACTTTTCCAGGGAAGACATACAGATGGCTAATAGATATACTAGTATTCATAAAGATATGTGTACTTCTAAATTCATTATAGCATTATATATAATAAAGAGGTAATATGCAAATTGACCATCACTCCAACCCACAAGATGGCCACTCCATGTGATAAAAAATGGCCCGTCTCCATATGATCAAAGATGGTCATCCCCATGTGGACACAAGGTGGCCACTGTAAGATGGCCAGCAGGGGAGGGCAGTTGTGGGCAACCAGGCTGTAGGGGAGGGCAGTTGGGAGGGACAAGGCCTGCAGGGGAGGGCCATTAGGGACAAGGCTGGCAAGGGATGGCTGTTAGGGGTGACCGGGCCAGCTAGGTAGGACAGTTGGAGGAGACCAGGCCAGCAAGGGAGGACAGTTGTGAAGGACCAGGCCTGCAGGGTAGGGCACTTGGGAGGGACAGGCCTACAGGGGAGGACAGTTGGGGGGGGACAAGGCATGCAGAGGAGGGCATTTGGGAGGGACCCGGCCTGCAGGGGAGGGCAGTTAGGGGTGATCAGGCCAGCTTGGGATGGCAGTTAGGGGCAATTGGGCCAGCAGGGGGAGCAGTTAGGCATCAATCAGGCTGGGAGGGGAGTGGTTAGAGGGTGATCAATGGTTAGGGGTGAGCAGTTAGGGGCAATCAGGCAGGCAGGCAGGTTGGGAGCTAGCAGTCCTGGATTGTGAGATGTCTGACTGCCCATTTAGGTCTGATCCCAGTAGGACATCCCTCGAGGTGTCTCAGATTGGAGAGAGTGCAGGCTGGGGTGAGGGACACACAAACCCCCATGCACAACTTTTGTGCACTGGGCCTCTAGTTATTTATAATAGCCAATACATTATAAACAGCCCAAGTGCCCTTCAACAGATGATTGGCTAAAGAAGGTGTGATACATATATACAATAGAATACCACTCAGCCATAATAAAAGACAAAATATTGTCATTTTTCAACATGGATGGATCTTGAGATTATTATGCTAAGTGAAATAAGTCAGAAGGAAAAGGACTAGAACCATATGGTTTCACTCATGTGGGATATAAAACAAAAAGCAACACATGAACAAAACAAAAAAACTCTTAGATACAGACAACAAGAATAATGGTGACTAAAGGGGAAAGGGATGGGCAAAGAATGAAGAAGGTAAAAGGGGTCAAAATTTGGTGATGGAAGGTGACTAGACTTCCGGTGGTGAGCACAAAATGTATATAGATGTTATATTATAAAATTGTACACCTGAAATTTATATAATGTTAACCAATGTTATCCCAATAAGTGTAATAACAATTTTTTAAAGTTAAAAAAGAAAGGATGTTCGAAGTGAGCAGAAGTGAAGAGCTTATGGATGGACAGAGGGGGCCTTCTGGTGTGACCTTCCCTGAAGCGCTCCTGGGAGGCCCCCTTGCACCAGATGCCCCATTCTGGTCATGGGCAGCCATCTCTTTGGGCTCCGTGGGTTCTGTGTTCCACTGGTCTTATCATTCTCTGTCTGGTTGTGTGTGTTGCAGGTATGAGACATCTCTGTTGGATTTAGTTCAATCTCTGAGCCCAAAGTCTGCCTCTAAACCTCAGCCCCATCGCTGCAGAGAAGCCGGGGCCTGGAATCACAGCAATTGCCAACTCAGTTCACTGAAATCAACCCTGAAGAAGATGGGGGCAGGCAGGACCCCCGATGACCTACAAGAGAATCAAATTCTGGAAGACATCTTTTTCATTTGACATCAAAGCAGTTGATACAAAATTTCCACAAGAACTTTGTAGGTTTCTTAATATACCGATCTGGGATTTTAAATTTTTAATTGCAAGTAATTGTGTCTCTCCTTTCACAGGGCCCTATCTCACTAGCATTCTGTTATGTATTGAACATAGAAATCATCCTAACAACCCTGGGGTGTTCTGATCAGACCCATCAGTAGGTAACACATAAAGGGGGCTGGAAAGGAGGGCAGTATCTTTTCTATGCCAAACAGAGATGAGAAAATTCAACATGGGACACTTTCTGCATGCAGCCTTGCTTCATGCATGTTTCCTTCTCAATATTTTGCTGGAAACGATTGGCTCGCTTTTGTACACAAGGAAAACCTATCTACGGAAATTCTCCTCCAATTTAAAAGTAGCCCTTGTAACACAAGCAATTTCAGGCAGAGAGTTCCTTTTACCTCTTCACCCTGTTCTCTCCGCACCTGCATCTCAGTGTGTAGTCATTTAATTCTGAAGCTGGAGTTGGTGCACCTGTTATCACAAGCAACATTGAAGGCCAAGTGTGAGTCAGGCTCATTGGTCATCAGCCTGGCAGCTGTGCATCCCATAACCAAAAGGGCTCAGTGGGCCAGAGGGAAGGACCCACAGGACCCACCCAACCCCTGGAAACCCGCATGAACTCACACAAGAGTGACTGCACCAGTGGAGGTAGAAGCCTGAAACACTTTTCCTATCATGCACCTATTTCCCTGGATGGGTAAGAGTAATCTTTTGGTATTTTGTTGATCCAAGTGTCCCATGGTTGTGCCTAGAGAAGATACCACTGGAAGGACAGTAGCCTCAGTTCCTGCAGGCTGGTAGGCTTTCTCTGGCCCTCCCTCTCTTTCCGTGAGGATCCAAGACCCTAGCTGCCCAGGGCTAATGTCCCATGCCTCCAAGTAGCCACCTCTACTCAGCTGGTTATGCTTCACCACCCCAAACCGAGCCTCCCCATTTCCCACTGGACCTCCATCCTTCAGCTCACAATAGCTCTAGCGGCCTCTCAGGCTGCTGGCTGAGTGATGACCGCACAGAGCCAGTGAGTTTAACCCTTTCCAGACACTGGATCAAGGGGAAGATATGTCCCCTGGTGTGTATTACTGCATGACTGTGTTGCTTTTCTCTCCCTCGCACCAACCCCAGGCTTGAACTAGTAGCAATATTCCATCATTCGGAATCGGTAGGCCAGGCCAGACCGCACCCCCACCCCCCCGGGGCAGCTGCACTTAGTGAGCTGCGTGGCTTCCCTGAATTCTCCATCAAAATAGCTTGTTTCAGCCTACCAATCCTTGAGCGGCCTCCCTGCCTGGACAGATCTAAACGGTACTGTCTCTTCAGGCTGAGGCCCCATCTCCTCCCCCCACCTTCCTTCACTCAGGTCCTTTTCAAGTTCACCGCCTTGAGAGTCGCCAAGTCCATTTCAACCCATTTCAGAAAGCGTGTGGAGTGAGGTTTTCTTTGTTGTGGTAAAATGGGTGGCCATTTTCTCAGTTAGGTTTCCAGACCCATATATTTTCGCTCCAGGTGTCATGACCACCTAAATGCACCCAACTCCCAGGGATCATCCAAACCACACTCCTCCCTTCCAGCCGCCAGTGTCCTCCGCCCTCCAACATCACAGGATGCCAGAAGGACCGAGAAGAGAGCTGTGGCTGCTTTAAGAAGCTTGTCTGCCTTTAGAAGAGTCATAAGCGGGATCTAAACTGAAGGTTTGGGGGGTCACATGCCACAGAATGGAGTTTGTTTCTTTACCTCCCCTTAATGAGCAGCTTGGGAGAGCAAAGATTGATTTTCAGCAGAGCATCCATCAACTTTTTTCACATGCCACATCCCCCGCCATGTGTATCCATCCTGGAGCATTTCCTGGGTGTCAGTGGGATGTGAATTTGTACCTAATCTAGTGTTTTCATTATGAATTGACTAACTGCCGAGAGAGGGTCTGGCACATAGGAATCTGCCTTTTCCTTTCTGTGAAGTGACTGGTCGGGATTTGCTTGCCCAGCCTCTAGCTGCTCCCCCTATACAAGACTGGACACACGTCCTAGTCGGTTTGGCTCAGTAGATAGAGCATGGCCTGCAGACTGAAGGGTCCTGGCTAGATTCCAGTCAAGGGCACATGGCCCAGGTTGCGGGCACAATCCCCAGTAAGTTACTGATGTTTATATCTCCCTTGCCCTTCCTCTCTGAAGTCAGTAAAAGTGTTTAAAAATAAAAGGAGGGAAGACTGGACACATATAGGAGGTGCTGTGGGTAGTGCTACGACATTACCCCCCTCGTACCTTCCATTCTGTGAGACAAAAGCCAGTCAGTGTTTGCAAAATGGAAAAGGGGCAAAGTATGTGAATTCAAGCTCTGTAAGTAGAGCAGAGTGTTTGATTTAGAAAGCCCAGGCCAATCAAGGAGATGCTTTTGCCAACAGTCACCCTCCCAGGGAGCACACTTGTGTTTTTCCAGGCCCAGAGGTCATGGGGAGGGAGGGACACCTTCAGAGCCGCTCTTTTCACTCGGCCCCTTCCAGCACCATGGCTGTGGGGAGGGGCAGGCTAACGGAGCAGAGCTGGAGGAAGCCCACAGTCGGTGGGGCCCTGGGGGCTGAGCACACTCCTCCCAGCGCACACTTCATCTCCACTCGGCATGTATTCCTTCTAATGTGGGCAACTGTTCGTATACGTGTGAGGTTTTAAGTTAATAAATTATCTCCATGGTCATCGTCCCCGTGTGGCTTTGATATTGAATAATCCCTCATCAGATCAGTGGACACGGCTTGTAAGTCAGAGCAGAGCCCCAGGTCACCTGAATGTTCTTTTCCTCAGTACTTGCTAAAGCAACGGGAGCTGTGGTCCTCTGAGAGAAAGGACATGGCTGCCACATCCTAACAGGTGGCCCTGGTCAACTCCAGCTCATGCCCATCACATGGACACCCAACCTTTTCTGTCTCCGCTCTTTCAGACAGAAAATGCTCCCACCTAGTTGGCTATAGGCGCTGGGAGAATGTGGGCGCGGGCTTGAGTGCGGAAATGCCCAGTTCAGAAGCCTCACCTGTGGCAGCCAGAGACCACCTGCCCGTTTCCCAAGCAGGCTGCACCTTCACCTGAGCGAGGAGAAGGCAGCTGCCCCTCAGGCAGAGGTGGCAGAGTAGAACCATCGTGCAACCAGCTCCCAATATGAAATGTTTGCCCCTAATTGTCTGAAGGTCCCCCTTGAGCTTGGAACAAGCTGGAAATGAGTGGGGTGAGGGTGACACCCTAGTCCTGAGGGGGAGGGAGGAACTGACCGGGCAGCCAGAGAAGCAGCTTTACAAGTTACTGGTCCTGGTTTCTCAGAGTTGCGGTTCTAGGTGGTCTGTCGAAGCCCCTGGGGTTCCGTTGTTCTCCTCAGAAGTGGGCCCTTCTAGCCCCTCAAACTTCAGCTTCACAGCGGTGCTCCCTGCCTACCCAGAAAATGCGAGCACCCAGAAAATGCATACCACTACCCATACCCTCACCCCATCCCCTTCCCACTCCAGAGCCACAGAATTCCACGGAGGGGTTGGACCGTGTGGCCCACACAACCCACCACTTTCCTTACACAGATGAAGAGTCCCGGGAAATGTGCCCCATGAGCTCCCGCGTCCCGTCAGTGGCAGGTCTGGCCACTGAGCCCGCACTCCCCACGGCAGCACATCACTGCCTCGGCCTGGTGTGTTCCCAGGTGGATGGATTTTAGAATCTCAACTCGGGACTGAACAGCCCACCACCACCTCAGAAGTGGACTACAGGCCATGTGGGCCAAGGTGAGCGCACACATAGCAAGTCCTCTGCTCAGTGCCACCACACAGAATGGCCGAGGCCCAGGGAGGCCACCTGTTCTGCAGGTATAAACTGTGTCTCCCGCATCCTCTCCGTCCCCACCCTTCAGCCCTTCGCATTCTGACGAGGGTTGGTCTGGTGCTGGGCTGAGGGGGCTGGAAGAGGGGAAGGTTGCTTCTGGCTCCTTGTCGCTACCAGTTGAGGTGGGATGAACTTATAGCTGGTTTTGGGCTTTCTCTCTCCCCCCACCCCCACCCACTGGAGGTGATTTAAGCCTGGTGGATTTATACAACATTGGGAAATGGTAAACTGTGTAAATTTTCTGTGTTTCCAGAGACAGTTATTTATGGAGGAGCATTCTTAACTCAAGTGCAGAAGTGTTAAATCATTATAATAAATTCACGCTATTCAGACTTTCTTACATTGTAATAAATTTTTTCTAAGCATGAATGAGGAGATGTTCCTCTAATATACCATTATGTATTTCTTCTCAAAATGACACAGCTTACTATATCAACTTGGAGAATAACAGAAGGAGATTTACGGCGTTGGAGGAAAAATAGTTGAGTAGCAGTGAATCTGGGAAAGGACTTGGGGGCACTGACCCCAAAGAAGCTTTCCTCTCTGCTCGCTTCCTACCCCGGGAGGAGCAGCAGGTGCCCCTACTGCAGGGGGGTCTGGTTGGTTGCAGCCCTGAAATCTCCCAGCTGAGCTTCAGAAGAACCTTCGAGCAGGGAAATGGGGCCAGGGACCCAGTGGCCTCTGGGGGCCCGCCCAGGAGGAGGTGTCTGAGTGGGGCTCTATCAGAAATGAAAGCTCTCCTGTGATGTGAAATCCCTTCTAAAGCATCAGTCTGGGTGGGAGCTGTCCTCTCTCATCACCGGTTGCAGCTTGCTCCCTGGATGCTCACTTGGACCAGAGGATTCATAGCTTTCACAAGATTATCAAAAGAACCTGCAATCCACAGAGGTCAGGAATCACTGGAGCCGGTAAAACCTGAAGTATTGGACTGGCCTCTATGCTCTACCCAGGACCCGGCTCCTGCAGTTGGAACTGGGGCTGCAGTGGAGCTCTCAGAGTCATGGCACCACCCTGAGGGTGGTCACCCAGAATTCCCCCAGAAGATGGGACATTGGAGCTGGGCAAAGGCCTGGAGACGGAGCTCCAGGGAGAGCGCTTAGGGCGGACTTG